AAATAATGAACTTCATTCCTTCATAGTTACTGTAATATTTTGAATCTTTTCATTTGTACCATCTTCCAATTACCTGTAGTCATACTTAGGATTGTAATATTTTGTTAAAGTTGTTAAGCTCAAATATTTAATTATTTTATAGTTGCAGAATTTGTAAGGGCTTATTTCAATCTACATCCTTGTGCAAATTAATTGAAACAATTGATTTAGTTTCTTTTCTTTCATGATACGGTTAGTTTTAGATCCACTGGAGTAACAGGGTGTAGTCGATTTCTATTTTTTCCTCAGATTAGGTCACTTGCAGTGGTGTTCAGTAATATGAGTCTATTTTTGGGGTGTGTGAGGAACTTTGTTTGGCCTTGAAAAATATTGCATCATCCATGATTGCATCAGAATTTTATCACACCCAGACACTATTGTCCTGATTGTTGATTAGTTGTCTTATGACCATTGCCTGCAATGGGCATTACTCCAAGAAAATGTAAGAAGATTTATAATGCTGGACGAACACACTGGCAAACCTTACCAGTGAGAAAATCAAAGTACTAGACTGGGCCGGAAACTCTCCTGGTTTAAATCCAATTGAGAATCTGTGGTCAATCTGTTAGAATGACCTTGTGGAATGGATATACAAAGTATTAACATGGGCACTGGATCATGTTTCATTGGAAAAATATGAAAGAAAGCAAATAATAATGGAATTATTCTTTTTGTTTCAATTAATTTGTACAAGAGTGTATACATTAAGATAGATGAGAAAATTAAAATAAGAAAACTAAAAGATTTAATTGGCTACTACTATTTAATATCATTATTACTGTACTAAGCAAACATTTTAGAAACAAAAAAATGCACTCTTAGATCTAACCAACAAATTAATTAATATATTACCTCCTAACATAACCCTCTGCCTCTAAAAATATAAACTTATATTGATTATAAAAATATAGATATATATGTTCCAAATGTCACAGCCAGTGAATGACGTAGAAAACACATACTTTATAACTAGCGGCTTTGGGTAGATAGAGCTCAACAGCTCAGGAAAGTAGTCCATCTAGGGAAAGGGAAACTCTGATTTTAAACCTCTGCTGGCTTGTGGCCATATCCAAACATGGAAAAGGCTCTGGAAGCAAATCCAGACAGAAAATCTGGAGTGAAACCCTGAAGGTGGTTGACTGTCGATACTGAGAATATAATGTCCTGTATTCCTTCGGATCTTGTTAGTATGGCCAAGAGATGGAGCCATGTAGTCTGGGCAGTGCATGGTCTGCACCCTAGTAAGGACAATTCCATCTCATCACCGAAGCTTTAAATTTGGGCCAAAGAGAGTGATATCTACCTTGTGAAAACGAATGCCTACTACACTGATCCCTGGCAAGAACCTGGGAAGTGATATTTGATCCTATGCACAGTGATCTTTGGCCAAGGGCTGGGGAGTGACACTTTGATCCTCTGAAAACTGCATAGGTACTACTACTATGCTGATCCTTGGCAGAAAGCATTAGCTTAAAATCACTGAGCAAATATGAACTGAACTAAACAGAAGGGTCTGTTATAATAACCCACGCAATCTTGAGTAGCTGTAGAAGCTTAGCTATAGAAAATGACAATTGATAATTCCAATTCCTCCTGGGTTCATTCTTCTCCCCCTGCCATGGGTTAATTAGTAAAACTTGCATCACTAAACCATTATAATCTACCCAAAAAACTTCTTACAATATTAACAATTTTTTTCTGCTTTAAATAACCTGCAATGGGTTGATAAGCTGTAAAAAAAATGAATCAACCAGCCAATCAGTATTGCTCTCAATATATTAACTGGATATGTAGTTAAATCACTATGTTAGATAGATATATATTAAGCATAAAGTAGCTGAAAATGTATGTAAATGAGCAAATATTGATAGGCACACAAGAGAAATATTGATTAACCAATAATGATTTGGGCCATTCCTGGAAGTTGAACTCCAGACTTTGGGTCAAAGTTCTCAGTGCTAAAAGTGGTTGGTCAAAGATAGGTTATTGATTAGTTTACTGAATTAAATTATGTGTCAAAGGGTAAACTGTTTTAATACTCTTAGGGAGTATTTTTGAATTCATGTTTTTTATAACTTTTGTTTTATTCTTTCTTTTTAGGAAAAATCTCTTTTTACACACACACACACACCTCATTTTGGTCATCTCTTTCAATACCTTACATATCTTCAAAATCCTAGGCACATGTTTACAAAATAGGATATATTCCAGCACTAGAAAGATTACATTTATTTTTCTACCATGATCAAATCAAACATTATCCTCTGCTAAAACTGTTGTCTCAGATCTTCCACAGGGAAAAATTGTGCACATACCCAACCACACATACACCAACAAAATGGTTTTGACTTAGGTTCATAGATGAAGAAACAAAGCTCAGTATAAACAAAGGGGCTTATAAATTCCTTTGTGTTTACAAATGGCTATGTTTCCTAAACGAAAGAGTTGAACACAGATCAGAATCAAAAATTGGAACAAGACTGTTTCTCCTCATCTTTGGAAATCAGAATGAACAACAGACATTGAAGACAAACAGGTCTGATATCCTGTCTTGGAAGTAAACAGGAAAATGACAGATTCATTAGGTCAATGTTCCATTGATTGTAGAGCTTTGTAAAATTAGCTTGCAAATACTGAGTTAATCAGAAGTGCACTGATCCTGCCCTGTATAGATAATCTCATCATTTTATCTGGATACTATGCTAGTTTAATATACTTAGCCAAAATGGAGCCATGAACTAACAGAGGAAGGCATGTAGCTGAAATAAATTTAGAAATGAAGGAAGAAAGAAATTTGAAGATATGGAGGAAGCAAATATTGAAATAAGAGTTAACAATATACATCAAAGGGAAACAAAGTCCGAATTTCAATAAATATAAATAATGAAGCAGTTGATAAGGTAACTTTTATCAACACTCTTTAGATATATGATTACCAGTGAAACATTGAAGCAACATGCATGTGTGAGAAAATGAATCTTGCTTATCTCCCCTTTCTTTATTTAGTCTGCATTTCTTTTAAAATGGCACTGTTTGCAAATTATAGACTCTATAGACTACTTTTAGTAGCAACACTGATGATGCTGTTCCAGAAATTGCTAGAATAAAATTTAGGAACAAACTCAGCTTCATTTTAATATGTATAGATTTGTTGGAGATTAGTGAATGTATTTGGTTAAATCAGAAGGAATTTTTAGGCAGTGTGTTTGTTAACATTCATCCACAACAAATAATAAACGAATATTTAGAACAGGTCATGCAAAGCAGAGTTAAAAACAAAGACAAGTAAAATACGCAACAATACGCTAATTTATATACAATTTAAATATATACAAATGAGTTATGAATTGGTGATTTGTTATATATTGATGTAATAAGACATGTAATTTGTTGTTGAATATGTTTGAATGCTTAAATCGGTGTTTTGATGATTTGTTGTAAGAATTAAACAGCTTGCTGTTCAACGTACAAAAGTGTTCGACTTTACAGTTCAAACGTTAGTGTGTGTATACGAGTGTTATGTTAAATATTCTTAAGTTGTATGAAGTTGCGTACCTTGAACTGTTAATTGTTAAAAGTTTTGTTTGTTACTGTTACTAATATGTAGTGAATATATATTTCACTTTCTCAAGTAAAGTAAATGAATTTTTGTGAAGTTTGTTTAAAAGAGAGATTGAGTATGCCAAAAGTTTGTTGAGTCAGAGGTTAATTCGCACGGGAAAGTCAAAGTTTAAACTGGTGTGGAATTGGTTGGCATCTCTCTAAAGTGTAGAATTCTGACGATATTCAGTCACCCCACCATGAGGGTGTCATGTGGCACAAGGCCGGTTTAACATGGCATCTCCGAGCCTGTGGGCTCAGCCAAAAATATGCCCATTGAAACCATATAAATGGGTTCAGGGTCAGTTTACCTCCCTGAAAGAGAATCTGCCCTTTGGCGTAGCCTCTTTCGGGTTCACCGACTGACGAACTACTGACTGACTCAAATGGAATTCTGGTAAGTTGGTTCAAATTTCTTTCTTTTATAGGTTCTGGAAAGGAAAAATAGGCTCAAACACATCAAAGGCATTTTTCATGTGCATACTTAGTTTTTTAAGGCTGTTAGCCAATGAGAAATTGAGTTTGTCAGAACTAGTGTTTTGATTGGATAACAGGCGTGTGGGTGTAAGAATGGATTGTTCTGCGAAGGGGTGAAAAGGTAACGTGGATTATTCCACAGATTCAAAAGCAGTTTTTGGATAAGGCATTTAATGAATTCTTTGATAACAATAGCTTCTCTTTGTCCAAACTACTTGAATTTGCTGATATAATTATTATGAATTCTATTCCTGAGTCAGGCAATGTGTACTTGAACTCAGTGGATAAATGGGGCAAACAATAACTGAGCATTTGAGTCCACGTAAAGAAATGCAAAGAAACAACAAGAAGCAATATATATGTACAAATAAATGATAATGTATTAATGATAAAGGTATACAAGTCACAAGACAATAATGTGTGTAACAAATGAATGTGAAAGCCTAATGACTCAAAGTATGTATAGTGAGTGAATGTGCATAAATACATTGTGTGTATGTGTGTGTGTGTGTATTGTTCATGTGTTTTCCAAAGGGAATGCATTCTCCACGAGGGATTTACATGTTTACGAGTAAGCAGAAAAAGTAAGAAGATGCTGCGAATAATTATTGCAGAGAATTTATAGTCCTAAGAGCATTTCCTAGAAGCAGGTTTGAAAATTAGGAGTATTTAACACAACAAATTTTATTAAAACAAGATTTCCTAATTTTCATGAAAATTAAGGATAATATTTCTCATAATATTAATATTTATAATATTAAACTTTATTCTTTTTCCATGTACAATGTCTCCTCAGGACATTGGCGATCATGGCTCTCCACAATTTCCTCTCCTTTGTAGCTCTTAGTAAAACAAAAAGTTTCATTAGGTAGGTTACAGCCACATCATATTAAAACACCAGTTCCCATATGATCACCAAAGTTAAGCAACATCAAGACTGGTCAGTTCTTAGATGAGTGACCACTTGGAATACCATGTGTAGGTGGTATAATGGATAATGCCTTGGAATTGATAGTTCCAATTCCTCCTGGGTTCATTATACTCACTACATGCAAATACCCTTGAGAAAGGTGGGAATCCATCTCTTCTCCCCCTGCCATGGGTTAATTAGTAAAACTTGTATCACTAAACCATTATATTCTACCCAAAAAACTTCTTACAATATTAACAAATTTTTTCTGCTTTAAATAACTTGCAATGGGTTGATAAGCTGTAAAAAAAAATGAATCAACCAGCCAATCTGTATTGCCTTCAATAAGTCCTGTGAATGTGAAATTTTCCCAGTATTTTGCCTCATTATATGCCCTAGAAATTTTAACTTTCTGATGTTAAGTATCAGTGTCCTTATTGGATTGGGGATTTGTATTTAAAAGGATTACACACACACACACACACACACACACACACACACATATATATATATATATATATATATATAATGTGATGGTGCTATCTATTTTATTGCAGAATTAAGGGAAAATTTTCAGCATAATGATTCGAAATTCTGACATCAAATAATCCTGAAACATATATTATGTATATGCATAACATGTTACACAGAATAGAAGAATTCCTTGCTAGATTGGAGGCATTGTTTTCAATCTTAAAATAAGATGATAGTAAGGAAGAGAATGAAAATAAATACTTTTGTCTTAGAACCCAGAAATACCCCTCATCTGTCATGGATGAATTAATGGGCTTGAAAAACGATATGTTAGATATTATGGATAAAATCAACTATTAAAAATAGTATTAAAAATAGAAGTATTAGAACAGTTTTCAAAAACACCTAGCCAATGATATAGGTAAAATTAAAAAGTTGACAAAAATGTAGTGATAAGAATGGTAACATATATAAAATGAGTCCAAGAGAATATAAAAAGAGAGTGATATGGTTTTTAAATCTAACAGTTTAAATGTCTATGAAAACAGTATGTCAAACCACCCAAAATCACCTATGTACCCTGGAGAATCGAGTATGGATTATTTAGAAATTTCTGAGCAATAGTTGAAGAAGCCAAAAGGGGCTATGAAAGGGCTTTACATAAAAAAATGCATGAAGCCAAATTGTTTTTTAAACCAGTCATAACATATGAAAAGGCTAATTGAAAAAGAAGAAATATAGTTTGGTTTAGAGCCCCTTTAATTTAGAGGTGAAAACAAAGATTGGAAGACACTTTCTAGCATTGTTAAGTGTTAATTCCCAAAAAATTCCATGTCACACAAAGTTTTCAATGAAAGTGTTGTGATGAGATAACCCAACTTCCCCATTCACAATAATGGACGGACTGGTTGCCGATTAAGTACGACCACAGCGGACAGTAAAAAAGGTCTTCGTTTGTTAACACCTATTGAGGTTAGCTTACTTCTGACTCTGTCTCTGTATTTTGACATACCTACATCCGATTATAAAATTATTATTGAAAAACCAACACTCGGGTTTACTTTGTTTATTATATCTTGCACGAGATATAACAGAAAGCACTGTAAAAATCTGTTACAGTTGTATGAGAAACATGGCAAAAATAATAAATGGTACAAAATAATAAGAAATTGGATATGGGGAGAGCAACTGCGAAAGAAGTCAAGAAAAATGCAATTGCTGGAATGCAGTAAATTGTCCACTGAATGGTAACTGCCTAGTGGATGGTCAAATTAGATTTAATTAGAGCCTATTAAGAGCCAAGAAAAAGTGTATATTGGTCCCACAGTAAGAACATTCAAAATGAGATATTATAATTGCAAATCTTCCTTTAAGCTAGCAAGGTATAAAAACAGCACAAAACTTGCTAGTCATGTATGAAAAGTGATGGAAAACATAACAAAAGTCTCACTGTGAAATGGGATGTGTTGAGAAAACTTGATTATTTAATATCAAGAATAAAATGTGTAAATTATGACAAGAGGAGAAATTGGTGATTATGCTGCACCCTGAACAACATTAGCTGCTTGATAAAAAAAATTGGAAATCCAGATAGTATGCTAGGAATTTCTTATTAGCAAGCTATGAATCTAGGTAGGAGTATTTATATAAAATATATCATTTTTTTTCTTTCTCTCTTCACTTCTTTTTTCTTCTCTTTATCAGAAACATAATTAATGTCTTGAGATGAAATATCCAATTTTACAGCCTGATAATACCTGATTTGTAGAAACTGCAGTAAAAAGAAGGATGGTTTTCGAAATATTTTATGCCTTAAATTGTTCTACATTTTCTTTTTAAGAAAATTGCCTTATGCAGATTTTTATTAATTTAGCTGTTTTTTCACAAAGATTGTTTTTGTCAAAAGTTTGATTTTGGGAATTAAATATATAGATACATAGCTGACATATGTAGAACAATCCACAAAAAAGCAACATCCTTCGAAAATACCAGATAGCAAATAGAAGTGACAAAGAAAGTCCAGAGTAAAGCCAGAGTATTCCATCCTCTGAACCATGTGGTGGCTACAAACATCTCTTCAGATCCAACAAGGAACTCATTTTGTACAGAAAGAGATGTTGACAATTACCCCAATACTCTGCAATGCGTTTTACCAATGATGATCTAGAAGTGGGTACTGAAAAATATTAGATAGACAAGAAACCCTTTTAAAAAAAAGATCTGATATTTCAGAATAAAATTTTACAATAATCTTGCCAATATGCATTCAGATTATCTAAGTTGATAATCATTTGTTCGCCTTATTAAATAATTAGCTTAATTACTTGTATAGCGGTTAATTAAATTTCTGTTCACACAGTGGGCAAACAAGTAAATTTGATTGTTGGTCATTTAGTCAGATTTTGAAAAGAACTCCTCACATACATTTATATATTTGTAATAATATATATTGTCTACAGAATATATCCTTATGCACATTGAATGGATTAAATTGTAGCTGAACAAAAATTTTAATTAAAAAGATATAATCATGATAAATATTGTAAGAGCAGCATATATTTGCTATATATAGAAATTGAATACTTAGATTTTTTTATTGCCAACTTATTTACAGCTTATCTAACTAAACTGATTGCTAGCATCAGAAAAGAGGTTTCAAGATTGAGCAGAGACTTCATCAGTATGGATCTGGCACATCCACTCTGTGACTGAAAACCAACAAAGCCTGAATACCTCTTCTGATTGCCAACTGTTAATTAATCAAGTAGGATTATCCATTATCTGATTTTTTTCGTCTTTGCACTATTTGATTGTATCTTCTCATTGTCTCCATTATCTTTTGATCTTAAATAGAAGGCACAGACATGACAGTGATCTTTGACAGAGCTGATGAGTGACTTATTGATTCTAAGCTGAGTGCGCAGATAGTAAACTGATACTTGATAGAAGGTAGGCAATGACACCTTGTTCCAAAGTACAGTACAAACATACAGCACTGACAAAATAATGGAGAGCAACACTTTGATCCTAGTTAGAATGCACAGATACTACACTGATCCTTGGTAGAGGACTAGCAAGCAACACTTTGATCTTGGGCACATTGATTCTTGGCAGAGGGATGGAGAATGACACTTTGATCCTAAGCAGAGTGCATAGATATGAGGGTCATTGAATGATATCTTGATTCTAGAAAGAGGGCACAGATACTACACTGACCATTGATAGAAGGCTAGGAGGGTAGCACTTTGATTCCAATTAGAGTGCATAGATACTAGACTGATCCTTGATATAGACATAGGGCAAAACTTTGATCTTAGTGTGTTTAGATATTACACCAATCCTTGCCAGGAGTCCGGGGAGTGACATTTGATCCTTACCATAGTGATCCTTAGTAAAGGTCTGGGGTGAACATGTACTTTATTGATCTTTGGCAAAGGACTAGCAAGCAACACTTTGATCTTAGTCACAATGATCCTTGGCAGAGGACTGGGTAGCAACACCTTATTTCTAGGCTTAATGCACAGATACTACACTAATCTTTGGAAGAGGATGATGAAATGACAGCATGAGGGTGCACAGTATTTTGATAGAAGGCTAGGAGGATAAAACTTTCATTCTAATTAATACACAGGTATTACACTGATTCTTGACAGAGAGCCAGGTTTGAGATTTTAGCCCTAGTCAAAGTTTATAGATATTACACTGATCCCTGGCAAGAACCTGAGAAGTGATATTTGATCCTATGCACAGTGACCTTTGGCCAAGAGCTTGGGAGTGACACTTTGATCCTCTGAAAACTACTATGCTGATCCTTGGCAGAAGGCATTAGCTTAAAATCCCTGAGCAAATATGAACTGAACTAAACAGAAGGGTCTGTTATAATAACCCATGCAATCTTGAGTAGCTGTAGGAGCTTAGCTATAGAAAATGACATTTGATATTTGTGAAGATAGTAAATGATTTGTGCACATCTATTCCCAAGTACACTGAAGTAGTTATTCAAGCTAAGGAAATCCTCATGAAATATTAACAATATATAAAAATTAAAACATTATGTAATAAATTTTAATGGCAACTTGATCCAAGGTAAAGAGCACAGACATTATGATAATCCTTGACTGAGTACGAGTGAGTGATACTTTGATCCTTAGTGAAGCACAAAGTTATTCTGATCTTGGGCAGTAAAGTTGATCCATGGATACCTAACCATTTTTTTATGTGTTCTATGCTTGAAGAATAGATTTAGTCAAAATCTCATCATAACTATCAAGGAAAGCCCTATTGTTGGAATAAATTTAGGAAATTTCTTGTTTAATTTTTTTACATCTAAAAATGTAAAGTAGATTATTTCAACCATTGTGTCTTTGGTTCTGAGTTCATCCCTGTTGTAAGTAATTTAATCTTGTACAAAGTAAAGAAAAGCCAAGAATAAACAATGGTCTATATACAGGGAGAAAATGAAAAGAAAAATGTCTGCCCATTATGAAATAAGGTTTGGCACTTAGACAAAATGGAACATTTCCAAGATCAAAGAAACTGCTTAGATGTCATTAGCAACAAATCTAATCAGTCATACAAAACTACTGATTATGAAATAT